ATTCACTACCATATAATTACCATTGCATTCTTCCAATGGTGAAAAGATAAATGACTTCTTATTTGATTAAGTGACATGCATATTTAATCATGCTACTCCTTGTGTTTCCTCTTTTGAATAACTTACATTATTGATTTCATTTCATTTTGATCCTATAGATTTAAGATGATTGGGTTTTTTAAAATCATTTTATTGGGGGCTTTTAAAGCTCTTATGACAATTCTCACATACATCCATTGTGTCAAGCATATTTGTATATATGATGCCATCAGCATTTTCAAAACATTTTCTTTCTACTTGGGCATTTGGTATCAGCTCATTTTCTCACCCTACCCCAGCCTCCCTCCCTCATGAGCCCTTGCTAATTTATAATTTTTTTTCATGTCTTACACCAATTGTTGTCTCCCTTCATCCACATTTCTGTTGATCATCCACCTGGGAGGAGGTTATATGTCTATCATTGTGATTGGCTTCCCCTTTCTCCCCCAACCTTCCCCTTACCCTCTTGGTATCACTCCTGAGGGTATCTATCTCCGATTCCCTGTTGCGAGCTCATATCTGTACCAGTGTACATACTCTGGTCTAGCCAGATTTTGTAATGTAGAATTGGGATCATGATAGCAGGGGGAAGGAGGCATTAAAGAACTAGAGGTAAGTTGTATGTTTCATCAGTGCTATACTGCACCCTGACTGGTTCGTCTCTTTCTTGTGACCCTTCTGTGAGGGAGTGTCCAATTGTCTACACATGGGCTTTGGATCTCCACTCTGCCCTGCCCCTCATTCACATCGATATAATTTCTTGTTCTGGGTCTTTGATACTTGATTCCTCATGAACACACAGGCTGGTGTGTTCCTTCCACGTAAGCTTTGTTGTTTCTCATCTAGATGACTGCTTGTTTATCTTCAAGACTTTAAGACCCCAGATGCTATATTTTTTGATAGCTGGGCACCATCAGCCTTCTTCACCACATTTGCTAATGTATCCATTTTGTCTTCAGTGATTCTGTGGGGAAGGTGAGCATCATAGAATGCCAGGTTACCAAAACAAAGTGTTCTTGTGTTGAGGGAGTACTTGAGTAGAGACTACCTTAATAGCTGTCTGCTACCTTGTTATATATATAAAACGATAAGGATATATATTGTTATATATATAACAATTGTTATATATATCCCTATCATTTTATATATATATTTCCTTATCGTTATATATATATTTCCTTGTCATTATATATAGATATATTTATATATGTACATGCCTGTATTTAGACCTCTATAATTGTCCTTTGCCTCCTAGTTATTTCCTCTATTTCCTTTTAGTTTCCTCTTGTCCCACTATCATGGTCAACCTTCATTGTTGTTCTATGTGGTGGTCTCTAATTTAGGCTTGGTGAGTGTTGTTCTTCTGGCCATACTAGGTTGGCAAGGATCTTTTGTAGGGCTGGGTTTCTTCTAATGTATTCTTTGAGTTTTTTCCATGTCTGGGAAAACTCTTACTTCTCCATCTATCTTAATCGATAATTTGGCTGGATAGAGTATTCTTGGTTGCATTGTTTTCCTTCAATTTTTGGAATATGTTACTCCACTCTTCTTCATAGTTTCTGCTGATAGGTGTGAGCATATTCTTATTTGGGAACCTTTATATGTGATTGCTTGTTTTTCCCTAGCTGCTCTCATGATTTTCTCCTTTTCCTCAAAGTTGGCTAGTTTGACTATTAGGTGCCTTGGTGACTTCTTGGGATTCAGTTTAGCTGGTGTTCTTTCAGCCTCCTGAATGGTTGCCTGGTTTTCTTTCATTAAGCTGGATAAGTTTTCCTCCAAGAATTGTCTCACAATTGTTGAAGATGACTTCTTTGTTGTGTCTTCCTTCGGTAAGCCAATAATTCTAATGTTGTTCCGCTTCATAGCATCCGACATGGCTCTTAGGTTTTCTTCAGCTTCTCTGATGATCTTATTGGATTTTTGTTCGCATTTGCAAAAGTCTTGCTTTGCTGTCCTTCAAGTCACTGGTGTGGTTCTCTGCTTCCTCCAGTCAACTCTCGAGGTCTGTGTTTCTGCTACTGGTTTTTGTTATCTCCTCTCTAAGCTCCTGTATTTCCCTTTGGTTAATGGCCTTCATCTCCTCTATCATTTCACCCTTTCTCTGTATTGTTTCCCTCATATCTTGTATGACTTCAAGCAGCATTCTGAAAATTTTTCTGTGGCAGCTCAATGTCTAATTCTTATATGCATGTCGTTATGTTCAGGACATCTGCCATTGCCTTTTGTTTGTCCTGTTTTTTCGTTGAAGTCATTGGGGCTGATGGTTTTTTGCATTGCGTCGTTTTAGAGGAGCCAGGTGCCGTTTTCCAGGGAGTTGAAGAGCACTGGCTCTCTCTGGGAAACTTGTAGGAATGCTTCTTCGACTTGCCTACAGCTAACTTCACTATGGAATTAACCTATCACTTTATCCTCCTGTGGCTTCCCTCTCAGGGGAGTGCCCCAGAAGGCTGGTGGGTTGCCTGCTTTGGTGTTGCAGAGGTTGGGCACAGGTTCCTGCAGCATCTCGGAACGTTGGCAGAGCTGCCTTAAGCACCCAGGCACACAGGAATTCCCAGGTTAAGAAGTTGGGCAGAGTATCCCCTGGTGGAGGTCAGCGAGGCTTTCCCCACCCTCAGGCTAGCTGCATTGGATGGAGCTTACCTAGCTGGGTGTGGTGCAGGTTAAATGCCCTAGGCTAAGGGGAGTGGTCTGGAGGTCAGCAGTGGAGTGTGAGAGGACAGGAGACAAAGAGGAGAAAAAAATTAAAAAGCCCGCTGAGGCTGTGCGGGGGTGGGGGGGTTGTGGTGGTGGTTGGTATAAAGAAGAGAGGGAAACAAAAGCAACAATGTAGCTGAGTCTTGATCCCCACCAGTGGAGCTGCAAGGGTTTACTACCCACCCGAGGAGGCAGTGGCGGCAAGATGAGGCTGTGTTGAGAAAAAGCCGCTGCACAGCCCTCCAAACTGTGGTGGGATATAGAGAAGAGATGGAAATAAAAGTAACAATGTAGATGAACCCCGATCCCTACCCATGGAGCTGCACGGGTAGAGTCCCTGCCCTGAGGAAGGCAGCGCAAACTGTGTCTGTTATGACCAAGCCCCTCCAAATGGTCCCGGCTCCAGCAAACAGTGGCTAGGCCAAGGTCAAGCCCCAGCCGGCCTCCACTGTGAGAAGCCAAAAGCCCCTAGCCCCTCAAAACCCAGTGGGTCTGTGCCTACTTATCTTTATGATGCTCCTCCTGTGTTCCAGCAGTGTTGAATTTCTCTCTAAGCAACTCTCCTGGCCTGAATTCTGCGGAGTCCCTCTGGTATGTGTCACTCCACTGCCATCTTCCCGGAAGGCCCCTCATTTCTATTCTTTCCCTCCCAAGTCTCTCCTGACCCACAGACAAAAAGCCAAACTCACTGTCATCAAGCCATTTCAACCATTATCAACCATATAGGGCAGAATATAACTGATACAGTTTCTGAGGCTGTGTTTACAGAAGCACACATCTTATCTTTCTCCCGTGAAGCAGCTGGTGGAGTTGAACCTTGCAGTTAGCAACCCAGGGAACTTCACCCTTTGCCCTTGTCTGTCTCACTTGCGACTTTTTTCAACAACTGCATTGCTTTCAAGTAGATTCTTAAAAGTTGCAGCATAATAGAATGAAGTGAATCAAAGTGTTAAGTGTTGAGTTCTAACTTTGCCACTATTTTTGTGGTTATGGGCAAATAATGTTTAAATAAAAAGTCATATTAGGAACCCTAAAAAAGTTCATATCCTAGAGTTAGACTTATAAAGAACTTACCATAGAGGTGAAGGGAAAAATTAAAGTGGATGGTTAGTTGCTGAATTTTCTCTCTCAACTTTTTATCTAGTTAAGTCAGGATATTAAGGGAACATATTCTATTTAGTTCTCTTTTAATGCAAGGGTTACTCCTCCTTTTCCTTGCCACTGCTTAAAACAAATTTATCTTGTGGAGTTGCCTGAATTCGCAATATTGTTGATGATACCCCTAGTGTACTCTACCATGTTGCTTGTGTTCTATTCTGTAATTTTCACTACTGTACAGCTATAAAAGCTTGATCAAATTTGGCTTTTTTTGGTAAGATACTTCCTATTGTATCCTACCAAAAGACAAATCATTGTGGTAAGATTATCTATAGGGTATGAATGCTGCTGCTCTGGTGTATCCAGTTAATCATCAGCTTCTCAACAGAATTAGGAGTCAGTGAGGATCATTGCCTATTCATCTCATTAAAAATTGCAAAGCAGTTATAGTCTAACATTTCTTCTACAGTAATTAGTTGGAGTAATCCTGTAACTCTTTAAGGCAGTGGTTCTCAACCTGTGGTTCGCAACCCCTTTGGGGGTTGAACGACCTTTTCACAGGGGTTGTCCAATTCATAACAGTAGCAAAATAACAGTTATGAAGTAGCAATGAAAATAATTCTAATGCTTTGGGGTCACCACAACATGAAGAACTGTATGAAAGGGTTGAGGCATTAGGAAGGTGGAGAATCGCTGCTTTAAGGGATCTTTCTCCAGTGAAGTAGTTGGTTTTGAACCACTGACGTTTCAAATTACTCCAACGCTCCTTGTTCATTATATTAGTCCTCTTATTTACATTTTAAAGTCTCAAAAATGATTTTTAAAAACATTATTTAAAGCTACAGAAAAATAAATCATACCTGCACCTTAAGCCCAATTCACAGCCAACAAGATCCTAGTTGCCTGTGTGTGTTTGAGTAGAACTGAACAAGAAAGTGTTTCAATGACAGAGTATTCTGAAGGTGACACCAAGTCTTCATTCCTATTGAGCCTTTGGGTGACTTAAATCTCCAGCCTTTCAGTGAGCAGTCGAGTGTCTCAACATAGTTCCACAAAGTTTTAAAAATATACATACAACCTCCCCTCCTAAAACCAAACAACTTATCTATAACCACCTCACTTTCCACTCAAAAGACATTGGGATATGAGTTCAGAGATAATCTGAAAAATGTGATTCTTAAAGTACTCTTTATTAAGATCATTAAAAGTTGTAGAAACAACTTTATATTATAAAGGCACAGGGAGACAGTTTTGATAAAATATTCAAATTAAACAGTAACATACAGTACAAAAGACAATCGTAATGCACATACAAACCCCAAATGTTTGATTCAAAAATATTTAATGCAATCTAATAATGGGTAATGATTAAAAATATAAATTGCTGCTTATAATAAATATCTGATAGTGAACATCTTGATAGCAAAGTGAACAAAATATTTATTGCTTTTCACATACATATTATTCCCTGTAAGTTTTAATTCCTAATTCTTTTACCAGCTTCTCAACCTTTCCCAAAAGTCAAAGAAATCCCATATATAAACCTCCTGGGGGAAATCGTAGCTAAATAAACTTCCTTTAAGTGCCATCACTGTGGACAGTGTTTTCTCACTTCTTGCTTTGCAGTCACAATCACGCCTCCAAAAGGTAAGATAAATGTTTGATAACCCACAGAAAATCTTCTCTGTGACTAGCAGTCGAAGGTTTGTAATGGATGTCTATCAAACATAAAAGGTGCTGTTTTGGGAATGTATATTTTAAAGTTTTTAATTAAGTGAAGAATGTTGATCAGTATTTTTACCTACTCCTTTAAAAAATTTTCCAAAGTTGTAAAAAGTCAGATTAAGAAAATGTCTAGCGCTTAAATGTTCATTGAAGGCAAGATGGGATATGCAGATAAACTGATACATAAAAATGAACATAATGCAGTCCACTTTATAAAGAGCTCTTACCTTTTTCCCTCCAGTTTTCAAACTGGAATTCACTTTATTAAATTTGGCCTACTCTGTTGTATAGCAACCTTTTAGATGGTATAAGTAGAATTTCCATCACAATAGTAAAAGAACACGAAAGTATCATCTTGGTTTGGACAATAAAATTTAAAAATGGATAATTAAAGTAGCTGACAAGAATAGTAAAGTTACTTAACCATATGTCATGTTCGAGACTGTGTAGCAGCTAATAATGTGCCTGGGACAGAGCTGATGCTCAATAAATAGTTACTGAATGAATGAAAAAGAAAAAACTTGGCTTTGGTTGTGCATATTTTAACCACTTTCTGATTTAAAATAAGGTCAGTCTAGAACCTAGAACTAAACACTTCACAGTGCACCAAAATCTACTGTAAACAAAAGGAATATAACAGAGAAATGTTACCTACTTCAATAATAGGTAATTTATACGAAATCTTTCTTAAATAGCCTAAAAGTTTTAGACGCATGGTAACTTTTAACCCCATATTTAAATTTGATATGCTAATGTTTAGATTAGCAATTAAATAATGAAGACCAGGGTAGGCAGACAATCTAAGCTGTCTGCTTTACAATAAAAACTATTTGTGCATTAATAATTATATAAGGTTATGATACCTGATTAAATTCCAATGATGGCTAACATGCTAATTTTGCAAAACTACCAATTAATGAAAGGCTATTCTAAGTTACATATTCTTAAGTTAAACATAGATAACTTGAACACAGAAGCCTAACTTTTCAACATTAAAGGACAACTGGGAAGATATAAATTTAATAATGAAAGAGTTCAAGTAAAAGTACTGGAAATGGATGGTAAAATTAAGTAGCCGACCAAATTTATTTTAATATTTATCTGTGAGATGAGGTTTATTATATCTTTGGCTTATCTAATACTATTTTAAATTAGTTAGCACTTAAAAAATACTAGGTTATATATTTTTTCTGAGCCAAAAGTAATTTCAAGGTGTAGATTGCTAGCAGTTACACTCTTCAGTGTCTTCTGTAAAGGACTAACAGCAATTTCGCAACGTATGCCAAATGTCTGGTTTAGTGTACAATGAGAATTACTGCCATAACTGTTAAAGAGCCTGAAAGAATCTCATGCAATGGGGAAATCATGGAGGGTGAACCTGGTGGAGGGCTGGGATGAGTATTTACATAATAAAATATTTATCTTTCAGAAAGAGTAAATCTGGGAATCCTGCCCTAACAGTAAATATGTATCGCACCACAATGAATGAAACTAGTTAAAACTTAAATGAACACTAACAATAACCTCAAAGCATAAAATTTAATAATAATTACAAAAATGGGTGGGGGGGGACTCTGTGTCATAAGGAAAAGGTGGCCTATAAAACAGGCCTTCTAATTTGACATTCAAAGCAAATGTAGATTCACAAAATCATGAGACTAATGCAAACTATGTCAAGTACCAAGTACCCTTTGATACACCAATGTCACTCACTATCAGACTCATTTCCAATAGCTAACAGTATCATTAATCCACTCAGGCATTCAGGGGGGACAAAGCAGTCAACGACAGCTCAAGTCTCCAAAGCGTAACAGCATATTTATTTGTAGAAGCATCATGTAATTTTTGAAGTAATGTCTTATTTTGATGGATGTTAACATACAGTAAGTTCTATCAGTGCAAATTTATCATCCTCTGAATGTAATACCTCCAAATTTGTTTCTCCAGAGTTTTTGGTGGATTGGTTTTAGCCAGTGCTATTAAGATAGAGAAAGAAAAGAGGCAGTTCACCAAGGACTACCTCACGTTGTTACTTAATTGTGCTAGATATTCTCGCAGTTCCTTTGCTGCGTGGAACCTGCCGTAGCGCTTCTTTGGGTTGGCACACTCATCCAGCAGGGCCTCCAGGCGGCCATCTTTGGCAATCTCACTTGGTGGATCATGAAGGAGTCCCCCAGAAGTGCCACGCCAGGTGGCATGTCTGGATAAGAGGTTCTGACAAACAGCATAATAATTGTGGTCCACAGTGGCTCGAGCACAGAGGATTTCTTTTGAAAACGATAGGCAAGCCTCCTTATCACAGTCATCAAATTTGCTTTCGTACCATACATCCCAGTTCTCAGGTTTATCTGTGGAAGGGGGGAAAAAGAAATAGAAAAATACATTTCAAAATAATGCTTTCATTTCTTCCTAAAACAAAACACTTCTTTGATTAACATTAATAGTATCTGCTCTTAGAGCTGCATGATGATGCCCACCAGTGTCAGGCAGGACCAAGATATGGCACCTGCTGAAGAGTTTGGTCTGGCAGAGGCTTCCAACAGCATGGAAAGTGTTCTGTAGAGCAATGACACACCTTACAGAGGAAGCAACAAGCCAGGGCTAGCGATGCAAAAGGCTGCACAGAAGAGAACAATCAATCTAGGTCTTAAATGACGAGCAAGCCTGAACAGAAATGAGGGAAATGGCACCTGCTCTAAGACAACGGAAGGCATGAACTAAGGAGTTGTTCCAGCTGGTTAAGGAAGCCCCATCAGTCCACTGAGGCTGGAACGTGAGGCAGGCATCTGGGTCAGGCTTGCAAGTGGAGCTAAAGAAATATCATAGCCTTCTGGGCTAAAGACTGGAAGGACAAAAATATTAAGAGAAACTAGAAGAGGACCCGAAGGAAGAGGCAGGGTATAGAAACATTTGAGAACAAACATTAACAAGTGAGTGTATAATTACAGTTTAAACTTCTAATTAAATGATCCGGTAGAGACAATTAAAAGTGATGAGCTTTAGCAGGTGAGGAGGTCGGGCAGAGGATTAAAGAAAGTAAAAATGAAGTAGTTATGAAGTGTTCTGGTGGATGTCATACATGTAAGTATAAGTCAAAAACTAGATTTAGGTTTTTGTGGTCAGAAGTAGAGCACATATATTTTACAACCATTAGCATATGTGCGAACTTTTATAGAACTTCACAGTGAATGAACTTGTATAGAAAGGTGTGTTAAAAACAGGGTTTGAAGCAGTTCATTTTGGTTCAACCCCCTGCTGAGAAATTACATTTCTGCCCCAGGTATAATGAATCACATTCTAAATTTTAACAAGATCCCCAGGTGATTCTTATGGCTGAAAGGGAATGAAGGAAAAAAAGAGAAAATTTAGGGTAGAGTCTTGATGCTTAAGGGATTGGCCAAGGAGAGTCCTCTGAATGAAACAAAATATACTAATTTATTCAGTAGATAATTATTAGAATGTCTATTTGATGGCATAGGAACTCTGGTGGCACTGTGTGTTAGGTACTGCAAGATTAGATGTTCAAACCATCACTCTGAGAGAAAAAAATGAGGTTACCTACTTGGTAAAGATATACCATCTTGAGCCCTATGGAAGGTCAATATAAGCTGAAATCCACTTGATGGAGTGGATGGGCAGGGGTAAATAATGGTAAATAGATAGGGTCCTTCCCCTCAATGGCTTACTATTGTGTGAAAAAGAAAATCAATAAACATCTATAAAAAACTGTGGGAAATGCTATGGGGAGGGTTGCAGGGAGATAATGCCACAGAAAGGAATTTAGATATTACTTGAGAAACAGTGGGGAGTCATTAAAAACATTAAGCAGGAAGACTAGGAAGATCTGATTGATGTTTTAAAAAGAAAACATGAAAGTAGTTCATAAAGGAGCCTATGGGTAAGAATGGACTAGATGGTCACAAATTTGGTTATTGCTTTTTATGAAAGTAATTGAAGGAAGCCACAGATAGGAAGATTCAAAAAGGTGTCACTCTTCTGAGTTTTAGTCTTAACATAAATTATGCTAATTAGATGGTTACTAAGGACAAGGCAGCCATGTAGGTTTTAATGGGTTGAAAAATGAATGGAAGCTTAGGAAAGAGAAGAAGCAATATTTTTAAAATAATTGAGAGACAAGAGAATGCTGGAGATATAGCAGTAATTTCCAACTATACTTGGGATACTGTTTTTTAAAGCAGAAATGGGTCTTAGATACTTGTTTATTATGTTTTATTGGATTAGATAACAATATCTAATAATTACTAGCTATTATACTAATATACTTGTTTACTAACGTCTACTTGTTTACTTGTCTATGGATTAAGAGGGCAGCTGAAAAAGCTATGTGATACATCAAGTTCTTAAAGTAGGATCTGGACTGTCCAAAGATGAGGGGTAAATGTATTTTCTTTCAACTGGTGGAAAAGGGAAGGGCACTGAGGGGTTTCCACAGCAGAACTTCAATTTCCCTGTGGAAAACATAATGGTCGTTTATTGGGAAGAGAAAAGAAGGTAATGCCACTTGATTAGATGGGCCTTCCACACCAAGGGGCTAAATTACTACCCCAGGAGATATCTGGGAACAAATTGGCCAGAGGCTAAGTCAGATGGGAGCAATATTTACAGGAGGAAATGTAAGAACACAAATGTAAGAATACATGGGCAGATTCACCTAAGGTCAGAAAGTAGTTGGTCTAAAGTGTAACATGTAATCCAGAACTGTCTCCATAACATGAAGTGGACAAAAATTAATTTTATGCTTAGCTAAACTGCACAACTCCATTAACAAAAAAACAAAAAACACTTCATCGCACACATTGAAAAAAGAAAAGCCTGGAGCTGCTTCATCACTTATAGGAGGGAGGAGGAAGAAGTACATGAACACTATGCAAGGAAGGAACCAAAAAGTTGTTTGTTGAACATAGAATCAAAATAAGGGGCTGGGGAAAACCAAGTATTTAAGAGAATCATGCAACAATTGTGTTAACCCAGTATACCTCGCAATACTGTCACATTCGTGGCAATCTTTAGGTGCCACATATCTTCGGTCATTGCTCATCAAAAGATCCTCCTGCAACTGGGGAAGGAGGGCAAAAGAAAAGACCCTCACGTTGAAGCAATGGTAACCCTTCCAATTTCTCTTCCTACCCAAGCTGGTAATCGAACTATGTCTAGCCCTGTCACATTAAACTCAGAACAATTCGCATGTTCTGCTCACCTAGCCTGTGATGACAAAGGTCTTTAGGTAAGGGGTAACAACGCCCAACCCAGTCAGATCTACAGGGTTAGCAATTATTCAACTGGTTTACACAAAAGCAAACTGATGACTGCAGGGACTAACTCAGGAAAGGCTCGAAGAAGGCAGCCATGAAGGCACTGCAGTCTCTCTGGTGGCCTTTAACTAAGTAAACATAACTCTGCATGACATTCTTAAACCACATAAAGCAAGGAGGCTTCAAAAAGTTCCCGGACAAATGGAATCAAAAGATAGGGAATTTTTCTATTAAACTTTTGAAGTCCTCTCAGACATAGAACACCATATATGTTAAAGATGGTACACACACAGTATTTGTATCATAAAATATAGAGAAACAATTTTGACTAAGAGTTCACATACAATGTTTCTTGATACTGGTCAAATAAGCAAAGATACAAATAAGCAAAGATGAAAGGCTGGCATCATACGGATATAAACAGTATTTTGACAGGAAAAATTAGGTACTAAAAAACACTATTTTTTAAAAAGTTATGTACTTACTTTGTCTAATTAATCGTTTGTCAGCAACCAAAACATTTTCAGCATCCACAATGATTACCTTCCCATCTCTAGGGCCAACTGCAAAATTGTCAAAGCTGACATCCAGGAGGTAGAGTGCAAATTCAAAGTCATTGTTTGTAAGCTGCTCTGCTATTTCCATTAATTGCCAAGCAAGGTCAACTCGTTTTTCCCAGGGTGCATTAAAATAACTCCACAGTTCTTCTCCAACATAATTCACAGCCACCGTTCTTCCACAAGCTCCCAGATATTTTGCAAATGGCCAACCTTCATCAGATGGAAAACTCTACAAAAGAATTATCTTAGTATTACACAAGTTTCTGATGAAGCTATCCAAACTCTATCCTCTACCATAGATCCCTACAGAGGAATGTCGGTGAGGTCTTCTCACTGTGCTAGATGAATTGTTAGAGATAAGTTACTTCTTGCCCTCCACCCCACCCTTCTGCCCCGCAAAAACAAAAACAAACCCCCAAACTTGCATAATCACTATGGACCTGAAAGAAAAAGTTTAAACCGAAAATCTTACATGGGTAGACTAAAATTGGGATGACAGGTCTTGCTTATCAAACTCTCTGGACCGATTCAATAAAAGATAAAGTACCTTAATTACCGAATATAAAAGTGTTTATGCTTTCCTTCATAGTACTAACCTCAACCAACCCTTTCTTTTGTGTGGTCGGCCTATAAGCCTAATGAGCAGCAAATATTTAATGAGCACCACCAATGCTAAGTTAGTAGTAACAGCAAAATGGATAGTATCTTCACTTTAGAAAAGACAGACATCAAATAATTAGGAGTATCATAAGTATAAATTACTAAAAAAGAACTCAAGTCCTATAGAAGCATTTAATTGAGGGCTTACTTAGTTTGGAGGGGGCAGGAGTAGAATTTAGAGAAGGATTTTTTTACGAAGGATCTTGTCTGTTAAGCATGCACTCAAATTTTAAGTCAACAAATATCAAAATAGGCACAGAGCAAAGGTTGCTAAGGAGCTTGAAATGTTCTTAGTATACTCTTCAATGCCAATGTCCTCTCTAAAAATGTCTAGTCCCAAGGTCACCTTATTTTTCCTTTCTACTTTTCTACTATCACTATTTGTCGTCTTTCCTAGCCAAGCCTCAAAATGAGCTATTTTGACCTTTGCACTTTTCTAGTGGATTCAATATCTATTGGGAATGTTACTATCTTAAATCAAAAGGAAGTTTCATGACCTTGAACAAGCTATTTTTGACTTATGTAAAAGAGACAAGTAATGTTTTCAACAACCTTTTGGGTAAGATTGTATGAACAGGTGGTGTTTTCAGACTCATTCCCTCAGCTAGCTAGTATTTTCCTTGAATAGGAAAAATTACAAAAATATGCTGTTTATATAACTACTATAAGAAAGTGGAAGCAGACTGAAAAGGCAGTTTTATGTATAACCTTGACATAGAGTAAAACTAGAAGGAATATATATGTGGCTTACTTTTTAGTGCTAAAATTTGGACAACTTACACAGATTTTTAAAAGCTAGGCAGTAGGTTTTTCTTCATGGATCTTGAGAAAACAGGTAATATTAATTTTGCTGCAAGCTTTATACTTCAATCATCAAAACTTAATTAACACCCTTAGATAAAATTCTTATCAACTTTATAAAAGACTTTCAGAATTAAATTTCACATTTAATCATATCACTTATTTTCATTTGTGTTACCTTTCATGTCAGTCAATGCACAGAAACTACTTGTTCCTTGTTCCTTTAGCTACTTAAAACTTGCTGTCTGCAATTTTGTGGAAAAAATTGAGATGTGACATCATTATGAATCATTAAATACAGTGAAAAAGATCCAATTTAATTCAGAGACCTTATCTATTATTTTTTTAGAAATCAGGATTAAAGCACATTTAACCTTGAACTGGAGACTTGTTTATTTCTTTGTGGCATTGGGAAACACGACAGATTGCTCATGTAAAATGTGCAGCACCCAAAACTGTTTGCCAACCATATACTATTCTCAACTTTCTTCATAAATTAAAACTTTATTTGATATTCTTATTTCAACTTCCTACTACTTACACAATCATGAAGATTTAAACAATGATTACAAAAGACTTGGCTTCTCTCCATAAGCATTCATGTATAAAGTTCCCTACATAAAAAAGACAACACTTACTAAGTACACACGAGACAAATATAGTTTGTCATGAAAACAAGTAAAACAAAACACTCTCCCATTACATGACTGGCATCTTTTCACATGCCCTCTCGCAGCACAGATGCTTTTGTAAACATAAAGTGGTCTGTGACAAGAGGGGGAACCCTGCCAGCGCCGGCGCATGTACAAAATGCCTCCATGCTTGTGGAGCCTTTCCAACTGGCAAAGGACAGTGAAACTTACACTTCATAGCTGAGGTCCCTAGAAGAAAAGGGTAAAATACAGGAACAAGTATCATATTCAGCAACATTTTATTTACAAGGTGAATTTTGACAATGTTAACTGAAGTCCTGTTATGCCTCATTGTGAGAACACTATAATTCTTTCATATAGTTTGCTACCTAATCTTTTGGACGAACTTTAATAATGAATTCACGGCTATTTTAACAGTAATTTTTTTCATTGTCTAATCAAAGTTTTCAGATTTCATTAATGAAAGCAGAATTCCACTGAACATATTGTAGTATTTACTGTAAGAATAAAGAAGGTCTCACAGCTAAAATATTTTTAACTGCACTTAAAGCAATCCTAGTATGGAATCAAATTACCATGGTTAAGGGGAAAATTTACAAGACACACTTTCAAGAATTTACTTCCTGGATTTTCAAGTATTTCAAGCAATATGGAAAACAAGTCCTTACTCCCTGGTCATGAAACGTATACAGTTCATAAAGTACACTAGGTAAAATAAACTGTTTACATTTTATTATTTAAAACAAAAATTAAGATTTTTCAAATTACCTGGAACAATTACCCCATTTTAATGTTCTCTGAAATAGAGACTAGAAATTTTAATGAACTATTTACAACTATAAGAAACGTACAATTATTTTGTCATTTAAGTAAGGAAGTCTTTAAACAAAATACTTTCGATTCTAATTTGTTTAGTTAAGGAGAGAAATGAGATATTTTATAGTTTTAAAAGTAAATAATATTTCATTAAAATGTCCATAATTAAAGGACAATAACATATATAAACATCATACTGGGTTTGAAATCACAAGGCTAGATTTTGAGGCCCATCTTCCTTCCTGAATCTCTTGAGTTATGTGACTAAGGGACATAACACAAACTTGGATTCCTTCACTATAAACCTAACATTTCCACAATCAGGATAATCCAGATAACTCAAGAACCAGGATAATCCAAATATAAAAAGAAAAAGGTATGAAATGCGCCTTGTAAATTTAATATTACTTTATAAAGAACTGTTCACCAAAAAAAATTTATACTGTCTGTTAAGGAGCCTTGGTGGCGAAGTGGGTTATAAGTTGGATTGCTAACCACAGGTCAGCAGTTTGAACCCATGAGCCCAAGGTCTGGCAAACTTTTGAGTCAGAATAGCTCATCCTGTCCCTCATAACACTTTTTAAAATTAGTCAAAGTCAAGAACCATAAATATATTTTATAAGCAAATGATATTACTATAAACTAAATAATATTCTTTTTTGTGTTACTCAAATTTGTTACATTAAAAGTCCACTCATCTATCAAGAATGCATTCTCATTAACACCTACGGAAAGACAATTACAAATAATGCCTAGAACCACTAAATTATATATTGTTACTTGCCCTCCTAATGACATGTATAAATCATTCACCAAACTTTAGAAACTCAACTCTGTGAGCAAAGTATCCAGAAGTATTAAAAATGTAAGAAGTTACACTCAGTAACATTACACATAGAGCACTGTAATGTGCTTTGCATTTCTTATTGGTAATTAACAGTAAGTATAGCTGCAATGCCAAAATAATAAATCATCTCTCTAGGTTAAGGAACCATGGTAGTACAGTAGTTAAGTGCACATTGGAGATAAACAAAGGGCCAGGGGTCGAAACTCATCAGGGCACCTTGGGGAGAAAGATTAAGCTATCTGCTTCCATAACAATATTCAGAGCAGTTCTACTCTGTGCTACAGGACCACAGTTGAGTCTTAATAGAAGAAACGGCAATGAGCGGGCTCACCTACATCAAAATGAGGGGTAGCCCCCCCCCCACAAAAAAAACCCGACCCCATCTCCCCCGCCCTGCCACAAGCTATACATTTAAATTTTTTACAAAACAACTTTATCAACTTCAAAGTATTCTCCATTACACTTAAATCTGTGATTCCATTCTTGGAAATATTTTTCAAACTCATTTGTTTGGATGGCTGACAGCACCTCCCTCGTGTTTTTGTTGACCTCTCCTAAGTCACCAAATCGCCGTCCTTTCATGTCCCTCTTCATTTGCAGAAACAAAAAGAAGTCACATGGAGCAAAGTCAGGTGAGTACTGTGTATGATGCAAGAGAGGCATAAACTGGTGCACTGAGATAGCTGCATAAGCAGGTACATTGTTGTGGTAGCAAAAGCAGTCCCCAGTCTGCCACAAACCAGGTCTTTTTGTTCCACACTGTTATGAATAACAGTCTGATCTGGGGAATGAACTCCAAATACACTACAAGTGGACATTTTCATCCATTCGTGATATTGAGAGATATCAGAACAAGGTTTGTCATCAATTGACATTTCACTTTTTTCGAAACAAGAAAACCACTGGCACACTTGAGGTTTTCCCAGAGTGCTGTCCCTGTAAGCCGTGTTCAACATCACAGCAGTTTCTTCAGCAATTTTCCCAAGCAGGAAACAAAATTTCACAGCCACTTGCTGTTCACTTAAATTGGCCATCACAAAAAAGGAGGTTCGAGCAAAACTGCTTTCACGAAAAAATTCACTGTGCCCAGAGAGAACCTTCCCAGGGAACACCACAGGATGCAACTCAGAGTGAGTTGCTTGATGTCAGCTCTGCCCAGGGCAATAGAGCAATTCTGGGTTTTTTTGTTTTGTTTTGTTTTGTTTTGGGGGGGGGGGAGAGAACCCCCTCATATTTTACATGGGCAATAAAAGGGATCTGAAATCAATGGATTTTTCAGTTAGAGAGTCTAAATGGCAAATTTAGTTCAATTTCCTCATTTTCACAGTGTTGGTGATTTAGTTAAAGGCATATTAGCAGGAAGGAGTGGACGCAGGCCATACCATAATTCCTTTTCCCAAGAGTGAAAATGGATTCAAAGGATAGTGTTGCTCACGGCAACCCCTTAGAAAA